GAGTCACATGTCTTAATTTCATTAGAAACAAGCACATTAAGTATATGAGGCTATGTATATAAGTTTTTTTGACTTGAAATAAATTATTTTTAAAGGACTTGTTCATAGATAAATCAATTGAGTTTATAAATAATACGATTTTTAATAGATTTTATATATACATATATGATATAAAAACAATATGTTTTCTTATAAATCATAGTATTATACATAATTTAAATAAACTGTACTATTTATAACATAATTTATTCTATCTGAAACTATATTGAAACATCACCATTCACCAGGTCGAATTAAAAATAATTCTTTTAATGTAATTATTTCAATTCATTAGGTTTAAAATTGAAATATTAACTTTACTTAAAAAGAATTAAGTCTCTTCCACTTAATTCAATCAACACCGATAATACATTACAAATTTTCTATTATATAACGGTGATGGTGCTGATTGCTCTTATTTGATCATTTGCATTATTGATTCTGATTTTTTTAGGGAACATTGCATATAGGTCTCATAAAATAGATTTATTCATAAATAAGTCCCATAAAATTCAAAAACCACACCTAAGTCCTAGAAACTTGAGTGTAATTTGAAATTTAAAATTACACATATATTACATTAATCAAATAATTAATTTATAATTACTTTATCAGTAATTTATAATTATAATTTTAACTTTTTACAACTATAACTTCATATATCCAATAGTTAAACAATCATATGTTACTAAAAAAATTAATATTAATTGTTTACAATTATTTCATTAGTAGTTCACAACTATAACTTCAACTTTTACAACTATGACTTTAAATATTCAATAGTTAAATTGATCAGTTTAATTATTACATAAATGAAGTTATAGTTGTAAAAAGTTAAAATTATAATTATAAATTACTAATAATATTTGATATTATTATCTTTTTATTCAAATTTCAAATTATACTCAAATTTCAATAGATCTAATTATGGTTTCTAAACTTCTCGAGACTTATTTTTAAATAAATCAGGTCCATGGGACCCATATGTAATTTTTTTTAATATCACTAGATACTCCAAAAAATATCAATAAAAAAGATCAGCTCTGCCAAAGACATATTACATTCATTGGACTTGAACTCAAAATTCCATATTTTAACTTGAACGGCTATAGCCTCTTCCATTATGATTGACACATATATATTAGTATTTGATCTTTTGACTTTGAAGGTGAGGATAATTGAGATAATGAAATATTTAATCTCTTGGGTATGCTTTAATTATCAATTTGATCTGTTAAGTTTATTTCAGGATTCGATTTGCTTCTTATCATCTAAATTCTAAAAAGAAGTGTGACTATTTAGTTAGGAAAAAGTATATTCAAAAATTTTAAAAAATAAAAGACCAAAACGTTGCATAAGAGACTAAATTAATAAAAATTAAATTTATTTGAGAGCTAATATGTTCTCCTTCAGTTGCTTAAATCATTAATATATTATAACATTAGATTAGTTTGAGAATAAATTTGTCTTTTAAAATATAAAGAATTAACATAATAATTTATAAAAAACTTAAAAGACTAAATTAATAAAAAAATTAAATTTAAGGAGCCAAATTGATAATTAAGATAAACTTGAAAGATTAAAAAAATTTTATTATCCCATGATCATCTTATTCAATTTTACCTGTTTTAGAAAATGAAGAACAACAAATAAAGGCTTGTGGCTTGCGTGAGGGAAACAAATTATTTAAATTACCTTCAGAGGCCTCTCAGCATCTCAGTCATCAGCAAAGGACAAAAGATATATATTTGGCAAATCATCAATCAAATCAACAATACTTTATATAAAATGTGTGGTCTTAATATAACAACACTTTTGCACTGATTTGCACTAGGCAAAATGATATCTGATGAGTACCAAGATTCTGTAAATTTCTTTTTTTGGGTGAAAGAGATTCTGCAATTTTAACTCTCTTTTTCCACTTTTAATTTAGATTTCAATTTGACATATATGTAATTGAGTTTGAAAATGAATTGCATACTAATTATTGCTTGCAAATATGCATTTTTATTATAGGTATAGATTGGTGTTTCATTAAGGTCGAGTTTTTACCAAAACGAACGAAATTATGGTTGCTGAAATTCTTCCATATGAAAAACTTATCTAAGTTTAATTTATATGAGCTCCTTAATGAATATTTATCGCACATAGTTCCACATAATTTCTAAATATTAAAGTTACTAATTTTTATTATTTCTTACACATTTATGAACCTGCTTAAGAAAATTTCTTTCATAATCAAAATTAAAATTAAAAGTATTAAATTTTAATATCATCCGAATTAAGTTTAAATAAGCTAATTAAATTGAATTTTAATTTATTTGAGTGTAGTCAATGAGAGATAGGTTGTCCTTGATAAAGCAAAAGCAATTATCATCAATATGAAAAATGGCTTAAAAGTGCTCAACGTTAGTTTAATTTCAACCGCAAAAAACTGAATATGCAAGTAAATAAATAAAATAAACCTAAAATATAGTGTCCTTTTCTTACGCGAATAATTTTGTGTTAAGTTGGGCCCTTTTCACTTTATTTAGCCATTACACCACTAAAATTAAAGAATATTATTGCTATAGAACAATATGTGTGGAATCGCTTTATTTTTTTTGTCTTTCTTTTTCTTTCTTAACTTTTTTTCTGCATTTTACAGGATTCCTTTTTGTAAATAAAGAAAGAAACAGACTACGTATAATATTTGATCAAGGTTTTAATATATCAGCAAATTATCATGTCAACATTAGCTTGAATAGTAGTTACGTACTTTGAATTTTTGGTTTTACATTAAAATAATTGTTCTTCTTAAAATGTTTGGGAAACATTAATTACTTTTGTATTATTTTACCTATCGATAATTAGAATCATGGTACAGGTGGAGTTCAAGTACAATTAGATTTATAATTTTTATAAGAATATTTTATACGTTTCAATTCAAGAATAACATTGCACAGCTAGATATAATAATATATTTTTCTTCAATTTAGGCTATTTAATATTCTGTTAAACGGTGTGCATAATCTGAAATGACAAATAAGGTCAATCAGAATTATGATAGGAATTTGACCAGAAAAAAAAGGAATTATTAAAGGAAATAAATACACACCCATTACATTTATTATATATGTATATCAAACACTAAGGGCTGCTAATTGCCACTTACATATTTTATTACCATTTTTTATTCTATGTATTAACAAAAGGAAGGATGACATTGTGAAAAATTGAAAATAAATATGACAATATATTCCTTTATATACCCTCTAATCCTCTAATTTTATATAATATTTCAGTTTTACCCTTAATTTCAGTTTTATCCCTTAATTTTATAAAATAATTTTTTTAATTCTCTAACCTTAACATTGTTAGTTTCAAAATATTTTTTTTGTGCAATTAATGTCATTTTTTAAAAAATGAAACTTAATATATCATGATATTTTTTGTCAAAAATCAATGTTGGTAATTTTTGCTAATAAAACTAAAATTGTGTTAGTGTTGGAGGACTGGAAAGATATATTATAAAATCAATAGACTAAAATGAAACATTATGTAAAGTTAAAAAAAATCAATAATACACTTTTGCCGTTTTTATATCAATCGTCAATTATTAATTCCAATACTACTACTGGATAATAATAATAATAATAATAATAATAATAATAATAATAATAATAATAATAATTTCAGCACTGTTCCAGTCTTTTGTGTATTCAAGGAAATAAAAAACATTAATGATGATTTGTTTGCGTTTAAAAAGTTAACAGCCCAGTTGGCTTGGTTTACACTAAAAAATAAAGATATTTAATCCATGTTAGCTTCATGCAATATCAGAACAATTATTTCTAATAATTATAATTATAATTAATAAATAACATGTATTTATATATATATATATATATATATCACAATTAGTTGGTTGTTCAATGGTCATTTTCGAGCTCACAATAATCAGAAATCTATGTGAAAACGCATTTCAGCGTGCCCTCTCCTTTTCTTTTTTTAACTACGCATGGATATTTTTTTAATTAAAAGTAATTAAATGTGAGCACCTATCATAATATTGAATTGTGTCTCATTGTGAACAAGCAACCTCATCCTCATTCGCTAGATCCAATTTCGTTGTGCCCGTTGCGCGACTTTTATTTTATCACCGTACTCCCCATTTAAATTCCAACACGTGTCTTCCACTTTTAATTCGTAATTTGAGGCACAAGCTGAAGGAGTACCATTAAAATTACATTTATGAATCATAAATATTTCCCCACTTTACTAAATAAAATTCGGACGAGTCATTCACAATTATTTAATATTCTCTCCATCCTAAATTATAAAATAATTTTAAATAAAATCACATATATTAATAAATTTTATTAAATATAATTTATAATTTTATTTTATTAAAATAAAAATATAAATTTTTAAAAATATCATTCATTTAATACTCAGTAAAAGAATATATATTAAAAATATAAAATATAATTAAAATGATAATATTAAAAAAATATCAGCGAAACCTTTAAGTATCTTATATTTTGTAATGTCAAATATATCTCAAAAATATTTTATAATTTGATATGGAGGGAGTACTTCTCATGTTGATATTAGCCAAAAAAAACAAAATATAATAAATATTAATGCATGTTGATATGGCCCAATTAAGAAAGAAGTTAAAGTGCGCATGAGATAGACAAGCACTGAAGCTATAAAATAAATTCTTATATACTCCTTACATTAAAAATGTTAGGCATTTTTTATATTTCAAGATATAATTAATGTATTTTTTTTAAATTTTCTTAATAAATACATTATTTTATATTTATTTTTAGGTGAAATAACTTATCAAATAAAGATAAATATAAAATGATAGTATTAGCTTAAAAAAATTAACTAATTTGTTAGGAGTGAGATTGAATTAAGAATGTCATATATTTTTTAATGAAAGGATGTTTTGTGTAAGCAAAAACTGCGCATTAAATAATTTCATCTGTAATATTTCGTACAAGAATATTGCTTTTACAGATGAAAATAAAAGATCAAGCATATCACGAAATTACAGAATCTGTGAAACCCTAAAATAGCAGCAAGAGAAGGAATATTGAAAATTAAAATACAATTTTAATCTGATCACTTTACGTACTTGAGTGAAGCCTCCTTCCTAAAATTACATCAAAATATAGAGATACATATATAGTTACTTTTTTTTTTAACAACAAAATTAAAATCTTTTTAAATTAAAATAATTATAACTAAGATATATATGATGATCAAATTAAAGTCCAATGGAATCCACAGACTTTGTTAAACCAAAAGTGATTCCCATCGCCACCCAACCTCCAAACAAAACCCTTAATGACGACTTTACCATCGGAGCGTTCCCCAAAACTGCACTCAGAATTCCGAACACCAATAACGCAAGGCTCACGACGGCCACCACCACACCTAACCTCACCTTGTAATCTTTCACGAAGGCCGCCCCGAGCAGCGGCACCACCGCACCGACAGCGAAGGCCACCGCAGAGGCTATGGCCGCATAAAACGGGTTCGGCAACTCGGCTTTCTTTACCTCTTTGCCTTCTCTCTTCAACTGAGCTACCTCGATGTCATACTGCGAGTACACGGACACAAACTCTCCTATCGCCATGCTACAAGCTCCGGCTACCAAGCCAGCGATTCCGATGAGGATCATCGTCTTGACATCCTTTCTAACGGCTCCGACACCCATCATGAGTGATGCCGTCGATAGCAAGCCGTCGTTGGCTCCAAGGACAGCGGCTCGAAGCCATTGAGCCCTTTGGGTGTAGTCAACAACCTCGATCTCATGTTGGTGGTGATTAGATTTTTCTTGGCGCGATTCTATGTCGAACGTGAAGGTTTTTGAAAGAGGAGAAGCTGGAGTGATTTGGCTTGGCTTGTGATCTGCCATGGAAGCTAGCTAGGTTGCGTCTTGATGAGGAAGAAAGGTAAGGAATTTAATGAGATCTGGATATGGAAGTGTGGAGGACACACGCCTTGGGAAGATGATATTTATAGAAGAGAGAAAGTAGGGCTGACGTGGAAAAAATAAATAAAAGAGAGAAAGAAAAAGAGAATATGAAAGTAGTAGTGGGATGGAGGAATCTTATGCGTTCATACTTGGAAATAAAAGTAAATTGCTAACCACGGCACCACCAATGTTGTCCTTTTTTCTATTTTGCTTTTCTTTTAAAAAAAAAAAGAAAGAAAAGAAAAGTATTGGTCTTAACTATTTTTAGTAAATTATCCCGTGTTCAGATTGGGATTTTTTCAAGTGAAAATTCTACCATCAAATGCTATTGCATGTATTTTCAGGACTCAAACTTGTGATCTTTGACTACAAGAGAGTATAATTTTTTTTGCCAGTTGAACTAAATGATAGTCTTGACATTTCTTATTAATATGGAAGTATTTGTTCTCTTAAAAGTTAAAATCAAATTATTCTGTAACTTACATATATTGTCCGTTAATTGGGAAGTTGATATTGGTACAAACATAGAAATACGGTTGGCACTGATAATTTATATACTTGAAAGATTAATTGCATGTTAATTTATAAGTTATCATTCTTACTTTCACTATACCCACTTTCAGGCGCTTGATAGAGGGGAGAATCGGAGTATTCTCGTGGACAAGACCGAGACATTGCGTACATAGGTAAGTTGACTACATTCTTGCGACTGCTATGTTCATTATTGTACTTTATTGGCTTGAAGGACCTCTTACTTTTCAGCCCAAGATTTCAAAAAGCAAGGAACTCATTCACTGGAAGATGTGGTATCAAAACATGAAAATCAAATTGGTGGTTCTAGGAATTTTGTTATTTTTGGTCTTGATTATCTAGCGTCCTATTTGCAATAGATTTGATTGCACAAACTAGCATATAGATTTCCATACATAAATGTTTTGAGCGAGCAATTTAGCGAAATATTCTACCAAAGACCTCGCAACTGGAGGTAAAAATGCAAAACCTTACCTTCTTTGATGGTTAGTATACATTAAGCCTTGGGGTTTTTTTATAAGGAGAGGGGGGATCAATATATCTTTGTTTAGTTTCATGTACTAGAATTTGTTTTATTTTCAAATTCTTTCATTGTATACAAATTTTTATATTCAATAATATTGTTTTTGAATTGGTTTTGATATTGGCATTAATAATTTTTGAGATACTGAAGGAAGTTTTAGAAAATTCAAATTACAAAAAAAATATATACATGCAAGAGCACTAAAAAATAAAGCATTTCTATAAGAAGGACATACGGGAGCACTCAAAAAAAAAGTGCTCCTGTATGCCTCACATACGGGAGCACTCTACAAAAAGAACGCTCTTGTAAGATATATACAAGAGTGCTCTTTTCTTGAGCGCTCCTAATGCCCATTTATTTTGATATATACATGAGCACTTTAATTAAAACATTCCTGTAAACCTACCCTATAGAAGCGCTTTTGTATATATGAGAGCGTTGGATATAGAAGCACTCCCAAAAGCTAAAATTAAGTGCTTTCATAGAGTTATTTTATAGTAGTGTAATTATTCTAATAAATTTAATTAGGTTATAGTATATTTTTAGTTATTTAACTTTATACAATATTTTATTTTACTCCTTTAATTTTATAAAATATCTTTTCAATCCTTTAACCTAACATGGTTAGTTTTATTAAATATTGACATGTTAAATTTAATTTTCTTTAAAATAACAATGATTAGTATAAAAAAATAATCATTTGAACTAATGGAATTAGGGTTAAAAGACTGAAAAGATATTTTATAAAATTAAGAGATCAAATTAAATTTTATAAAGTTAGAGAACTAAAAGTATACTTATTAGGCATGATATAAGAAAGGGATTCAATATAATATGGGGGAAATTAAAGGGAGGAATGTAGACACATATAGTGTATATATATTGTATTTTTTATTTTCATAACTTATTCATCATCAGTACGTAGTGTTATATATTTTTCATTTATCTTCAATTCCCATTCTGTTCACATATTTGATACTTGGCTTACCTAAAACTATTCTAATTTCTAACTGATAAGTGGTGAAATAATTTAAAGTTCTTTTTAATAAATAATTATTTAAATTTATTTCTACATTTTTTTTGGAACAAATATATCTACAATTTTTCCTGAGAGAAATTATATAACGACTCTGGGAGCAAGCTAATTAGAATCAAGTATATATAAGCTTTTAGGAATAATTAATATTTTTCCCAGAATGTCTCTAATTAATGAATGAAGAGACTATATAAGCACCCTTCCACATGAAAAGATAGCGAGCATTAATTGAGGACAAAAGTGGATAGATGAGGAAGACATGAATTAGTCAAAAGTCAAAACAATGTTTTCGAAGTGTAAGTTCGATAAGTCCATTTTTCACTAAATATTCAGTGAGTGGCACGCATCATAATTTGTGTGTGTGTGTGTAAGTCTTAAAATTTTTTCATACAAAATAATAACTCAACCATTTGCCTAGCAATATTGTCAACCAAAGAAGGAAGTCATGTTAACATGGGCTGTATCAATTCAGCCATTGTGAAATAAACACACACACATTAATTTATGTGTGTACAACATCAAATCACTATTTTTTTTTGTGAATGTATTAATAACAATATTTACAAATCCAAAGAGTAAAGACGGCTTCATCAAATTTACATTCTACGATGAGATGAAATAAGGTGTTTAATTAGTAATTTAGTTTGTGCTATGTAATGAAAAAATTAATTAAATATACATAGGAGAAATATTTAGATAGATCGGGTGCACCACGTCAGCTGTAATTTGTCCAATTAAAATGCTCCAATTAATCTAAAAAATTTTGTGTGACATTTTTAAATTGATTTTATTTTTATAATAAAATGCATATTTGATTTCTTGCCTTTTCTCTTCTAATATCATTAATATCAAAATTAATTCATATTTAATATCATTTAAATGTCATATTTTTATTGTTGGATAAATCATAAATGATGTGAAATATTTTATCTGCCTAAGTATTTTTTTTTTTTTATATAGACCACCCACAATCTATGGCTTTAACTCTACGGACTAAAGTCTAAAAGCAAATCTGAAATCTATTAGCTTGTGTGTGTGCATGTGTAGTTATCTTTAGTGTGCCCACCATGCCTTTGCCTTGCGTCAGTTGATAAGGTTTCTGACCACTTGAATACATCTTATCTTTCTTCTATAATCTATATATTTTTATATTTTTATTCTGAAAATATTAAATCATTTAATATAGTAATTTAGATGTATATGATCTATTTCATTGGGTGACACGTACCAATTTTTTTTCCATTGGAAAAAAAATTATAAAAGGGAGAGATGATAATATAAATGTCTATTATATTGAAACTTATTTCTTTATTACCATCTCCACATCTCTTTGCACACAACACTTTACCAAATTTTAAAAATACGAAAAAAAAAAAAAACAGATTCTCTCGTTGTGTGAACATGAGCACCATCCACTACTTTGCTCGTTGTCCGCTGTAACAAAATCAACATCAAAACAAGTCATCAAGAACTTTATTAATAAAAAGTTAATAGTATATAGATTGAGTCTTATGTGTTTATTGGATTACTTAGGAAAAAAAAAAAAGCAATAGCTCTCTGTTTGTGATTAACCGATGATGCACCTTAAATATTTCAATTGTAAAATTATTAATGACGAATAATTGTGCATTTTTTATAATATATATGTATATATATATATATATAAGAATTAATATTCCTAAGTGTAAGTAAATTCATACTTTTAATTATTATAATTTGTTATATTTTAAATTGTACAGATCAATACAGATTTATATATTGCCCCACTTTGTAACTTTTTTTTTTTTGTTTTGGGTTTCATCACTGCTCTCAAGTGAATTGGTTGACCAGCATCTCCAATGGCATTTATTTATTTTTCTTTCCAACATTTATTTACTTTAAGAAAATTATATATCTGGGAACTTATATTTATCAAAAATTGTGTGAAAAAATAAAATTATACTTAATTTATTTAAGAATTTTTAAAATTTAAAATTTAATTTATTCAAACTCAGTATAATTTTTTTAAAAAAAGATTGCAAATGATTTTTTATTCGGATCTTGATGATGTAATTTTCTTCATGTATTTCCTATTTTTCCTGATTCGAACCAGCATAATGCAAACGCCATAAGTTTCCTCGCCAAGAGTTCAGTCTCAACCGATTAAACTTGCGCGCTTAACTTAAGAGTTTCCTCTGGGAAACCTTTAACAAAAAATATAAAAATAAAATAAAATAAACACACACATACACACAAATAACTAAAATCACTTACAAATGCCAATACAAATGCGCGCGCGCATGAATATATAATTTACATTATTTAACTACATTATACATATAATCAAATAAAAAAAGTGCTGGTGCTCGTGATTCTGTCTCGATGCACTTGCATTATGACTTTCCTGTAATTATTAAATTAAAATATATATAATGACTTGTGCGTTTCGTGTGGACAGCACACTAGTGTCATGTATTTTATTGTTCCTTTACTTTCAAAAGCTAGCCTCCTATGATTCATGAGTCAAATATGGACAAATGATAGATCATATTTAACAAATTGATAATTAAATATTAATATGGTGTTTTATATATAGTACGCGTGTTCATTATAATTTATAAAACAACAATTCGCGCATTGATTCACATGATGATATTATATTTCATGATTCAGGTTTTATAAATTTTAGAGTTAAAAGTTAAAAATATTTTTAGAATATATATACAAGCTTATAAATAATTTTAAACTTAACTATAAATCATTTATATTTTTTAAATATTAAAATTTTTCAGTATATCACTAATTTCATTAATTTGTCCTGTTAATTTTTTTTCCCGTTTGTGGGGTCAGCAATTAAATTTTTTAATATTTAGTTGGTCCCACTAGTTTTTAATAATGTTGTATAATAATAAAAAAAAACCTCTCTCTCCTCCCTCTGTCCTTAAACTG